TTGTAGTTATGCTGATTTAAAGCAAAATCAATATATTGAAAAGTAATGTTTCTGCATACATCCTTTAATAAATACTTTTCAGAAACATGTAGTGGCAGAAAAATCGCTTATACACAATAGTACTACAGGCAGTACTCCCAAAATGCATAAACTCTAGCAGCACCAAGATACTCTATTGCCCTCACTGGTTTGCCCTGTGGACTGACGGGTCCCAGGTTTGATTCCCACTAAGGGCATGTGCTGGGTTGCAGGCTCAACCCCCAGTAGAGGGCGACCAGGAGGCAGTTGATCAATGATTTTCTCTCATCACTGATGTTTCTATCTCTCTCCCTCTGCCTTCCTCTTTGAAATCAATAAAAATATTTTTTTAAAAGATTCTATCATCTAAACATTACAAGAATTAAAATATAATCAGTGCTTAAAATAGCCTATTTTTCATTAACACAATCAAACTGTTATTAAAATTTAATAGACAAAAATAGTTTCACACACTTCTAATGTCTATATATCTGTTTGGAATGCTCAAATATGTAACAGCAGTTATTTATCATATATAACTGTAACTCCAAAGGTCATAAATTTATAATACAAAAAATTAAAAGTATTATAATTTTCAATATTATATTTCAGTATTATACTTTAACAGCATGAGAATTCTATGAAATTAACTATTTCCAAGAGAATTTTAAATAGCTTTAAATCTTAAAAACAAAAAAAATCCTGGAATTTATTATTATTAAGAAATAATAAATTTCAGAATTTCACATAGCTGATGCTGTGAAGCAAACAATACTCCCTAGAATAAAAGAACAAAACCTTCCCCATAGGTATATGCTAGTCCATAAATATATAGCTACTTTATTTAGTGTACTCAGGCCCGGTGCATGAAATTCGTGCGGGGAGGGAGGGGAGTCCCCCTCAGCCCACCCTGTACCCTCTCCAATCCAGGATCCCTCGGGGGATGTCTGACTGCTGTATATCCCTCTCACAATCCAGGACTGCTGGCTCCTAAATGCTCACTTGCCTGCTTGCCTGATCGCTCCTAACTGCCCACCCCCCCAGCAGCCTGATCACCCCTAACTGCCCCACCCCCAACTGCCTGCCCTGCCAGCCTGGTTGCTCCACGCAGCCTACTGTTTAGTCATTTGGTCATCCCTCACTAACCCCCCTACTGGCCTGGTTGTCCCATGCAGCTTCTGGTCATTACTGTTACTGTGACAGTGTTCTGGACAATTTGCATATTCCTCTATTATTAATATAGATGGTTAACCTAAGACTACTGTCTCAAATGATACCCTGAACATTCAAGTGAGCCACAGTGTATACCTGCATAGTCTCAAAAGGATAATTTCATTTAGTTTAAAAAGTAATTTTAAAGAAAAAAATGCCATTTATATATAATCTAATATCATTTCCCATAAGAAATTAGTAAGCATTTTTTCATGATCATGATCCGCTTCTTTTTCACATCCTTAAACTTCAAAAGCATTTAAATAAATATTAATTTATTGAAACATATTCAACAAGAATGTTTTTGCATAGTTTATGGCAAGGACATAAATCAGTACTTTAGCACTTGACTGAGGAGTATTGAGCAGCCAATTCACTTTAAAATTTGTTATGAACTATAATAAAAATCTAAGAAATGAGTAAATAATTCAAGTAACCCCATAATGCCACTGAGATAGAATATAAAAAGTTGTATTAGCTTCATAAATAACTTTTATAAAAGTTCAAAAGTAATTTTTAAAAAGGATTTGTAGATTAAATTATATATCTGAGATTTGCCTTAAAAATAATCCCAGAAGGTGAAGATTCTGTAGGAATAGAAATGAGAAAAGAATGACCATTTTTTTTCATAACTGTTAAAACTATGTGATGTATGTGTTCATGGGAGTTCATAAAGTATTCTCTCTTTCATATAAGTATGAAAATTTGTATAGATTTAAAGAGTAACAAACATTTTTGCTTGTATCTTAAAGCTAAGTGGTATTTTTTTAAAAAAAAAAAAGCTAAAAGAATGTAAAGAGCTAATTATGTGATTAAGTAATCATATTACTAAAATGTTCAGGACCAAATGAAAATCAGGGTCTTCTTTTGATATGTTAACTCATGAATTAATGAGTTTAAGGCATCCAATTTGAATTTTAAGAAAAGCACAATTTGGCTAGTTAAGTAGCTATTACTGTAATCAACTCTTAATTAACTTGACTGACTAGATCACTGTTCCCTATAACCTTCTTTTAAAAACAAAAACAAATAGACATTTTAGCATTATGCTCCCTATTTATTAGTAAAATAGTATCAACCTGAACAGAAAAATGTTGGCAAAATATTTTTTTGCTATTCATTCTTTTCTGTTAAAATAAGTGCTGAGTAGGGAATATAGTCAATAATATTTTAATAACTATATATGGTGTCAGGTTGTTACTAGAGTTATGGGGGAAATCACTTCATTAGTTGTATAAATCTCTAATCACTATGTTGTACACCTGAAACTAATATAACATTGAATGTCAACTATAATTGAAAAATAAAAGAAAACTTTTAATGTACTAAGGAAGAAAGACAAAATGGTCTAAATAAGCCTTAAAACAAATTTTAATTGTCTTCCAGTGATCTTTTCTCTACACAAGATAATAAGAACAGTTAATCCAGCACACATATAAATATGTACATTACTGAAACAAAGTTTATACTCTCTTTTTTTTAAAATCCTCACCCAATGACATGCTTAGAGAGAGGAAAGAGGAAGGGAGAGTGGGAGGAAGGGAGAGAGAGGGGAAGAGAGAGGAGGGGGAAGAGGAAGAGAGGGGGAAGAGAGAGAGAGAGAGAGAGAGAGAGAGAGAGAGAGAGAGAGAGAGAGAGAGAGACATCATTTGATTGTCCTCTACATGAGCACCAGTAGGGAATCGAACCACAACCCACACGCATGTTCCAACCGGGAATCGAACTGGCAACCCTTAGGTGCACTGGAAATCATTCAACCAACATAGCCACTCCAGCTGAGCTGAAGTTCCTACTCTTAATGTGCGCTTTACTCTGACATTTCCTATTTGGTTTTTATTATATTTCATATTCAGAATGCCATGAATAATCTAAATTGATTTTAAATCACCACAGTTTGAAAAATCTTAGATTATATGATCTCTGAGGTCTCTTCTAACTGACATTTTGGAATTCTAACATTAACTACAATATACATCATCTTTTGTCTCAGGTAGAAATCAAAACAAGGTCAGAAAATAAATCTAAAATCCTATAGCTAAAACGTCTTTACAATAATAAGAAAACTATAAGATTATGTAATGCTTTTAACACAATTAAAAGCTTAAATTGACCTGTTTAAGTTTTACTTTCAGAACTCAAATATCTCCACGGCTAATCTGTAGATTCCAGTAGTCAAAGAAATTCAAATCAAAGTAAATAACTCCTATTAGACTCTCCCAGGAGGAGAAAATCATCCAATGACCAATCCCAGTTAGAAACTCCAAATACCAAGGATTAGCAAAGCAATAAACATTCAGAAAACTTTTGGTGCATAAAGTAAACTAGAAATAGCATTTACAAATATTAAATAGAAAAATTCTATTTCTAAATGCTAAACTATTCAATACACATGACTTGAATGTTGCAAAGAATTCAAGTTTATAATTATACTCAGTGTAGTGAAGTCTATTTACTAAATGGATATACTAAATATAATTGAATAAAAAAGGACATTTTCCTCCCTCAACAAGAACATTTTTTAAAATTGCATACTAACTACATTGCTCTTTAATTGTAATTGCATATTTTAAAAGCCTGAATGTTTTACAAATCACAGTCTTCAGATCAGAACTAAACATTTTCATGTGTTCCATTGTTTCTACAGCAATAGTAAAGCATGATATCCACGATAATTCCAAGATATGTCTACTGATTGTGCAAATAAGCATTTTTTTTGGAAGTAAGTTAGAACAGCCTCACTGTCAAATAGTTTCTACCCATTCACTCCTTAAAAAAAAAAAAACCTTACCTAATTTTTTCTTCCTGAGCCTGACCATAAGGTCCCTCAATGCTAGTCTCTAATATGTTCAATCCTATGCCCTTAATACCCAACAAGTTCAGTCAAAATTAAGGCTCTCATAAATAAGAGTTTGGAATATCTCACTTCACAATTCTTCTGAATATGCTAAAGAATTTGATTTTAAAAATCTGGTCTCCAAAAGAGATGCACAACAAAGGAAAATTGTTTTCTTAATTTCAATGAAAACTACCGAGTCAAAAATTGCCAAAGAAGGGTAAAAATGAACTTTAAGACAATGACTGATAGATATTTGTTTACATTTGCAATAATGCAGTTTCATAGACATCCTTACATCCCCCAAATCCCACAATATGGCCCATAATTAATGTGACTGATTTGGAACACATGTAGGATAAACTGTACCTGCTTAAAGTATCAAATTCTTTTTTAAAATTCAGAAGCATGTGAAGATTTATTTTATGTTAGATGGTGTGCAAAAATAATCCTCACATTAACAGGTTCATTCTAGAAGTTACCCCAATAACTTGCTTCCTTCTGTGAAATCACACAGTGAGATCACTTCTAAAACTATGGAAAGCTTAAGTTCAGAGTGGGAAATTATTTTTTTAAATTATAACCCTCAAGAACATACATGAAAAATGGAAACCAGATTAACACCAGGAGCCTTTCAGCAACTGTGTTAGAAAATAAGAAAAGACTTACAATAACACACATTTTGTTTCACTGAAAAATGATTTATACTAATACTAGTCATTAGCCCTTTTTTATACAGATAAAGGAAACATTCATTCCTGCCCTTCCAGGCAACTATAAATTATTAAAATCTTTCTGAGGTTAACAAAAACAGTTAAAAACATCTGACCTGGAATTTTCACTCAGGTTTAGAACTTTGCAAGATTCATCCAAAACCCAAATAACTTTCCATGTTTACATAGTTTACTGAATCATGATGGTTGAATTGAATTTGTACCTATGTGAAAATGGCAATGCATTCTGAGTTGGTTCAGCCCTTGACTCTGAGTTCTGTGTGACATCAGGTGTTCTTTCATCGTCGGTCCCATTGATACTTTCTGGTGTTAAAGGAGACTGAAGATCCCCGCCTGCTGATTCCTTAAAAACAAAGGGATAAAAAAGTGTTATACTTCTACTAAAAGACACAAGATCATCTTAAAGTTAAAACTGGCTCTGATGTATGCTTACTTATGAACTGTATTTCAATTAAAATTTGAATCAAAAACTTAAAAATGAAATTTGAAGAAGTAAATTTTTTAAAGCAAAGAAACTCACAATAAAACTACCTGATACCTAACACAAGTTAGAATATAGTTACAAAGAACTGAAACACTTTGGGGCTTACATAAGCAACTAATTAGTTAGAATAAAAGATATTCAACGAATTGCCTGAGAAGAAAGAGAAGATGGCACAAAAATTCAAGAAAGTGTGAGGTTTTATTTGGGAGGGTATGACAGAGAAGGGGAGAGAGAAATCTTCAAAAAGTTTTAATTTTTTTACCTATCCTACTTCTCAACTCCTGAAATTACTTAGAAAAGCAGTCAGAAATACCTCTATAACATACATAATGATGTCCATGTATCTCAGCTTTTCTTGACTGCTACTCAAAATAGAAATCTTTTTCTTCACAAAATTTCCTCTTATATCTACTTTTAATTGATCTGCCTATCAAGGTAAATTTAATTTATCCCTTAGGAAAATAAATTGAATTTAAAATGAAGCTCAAGATGACACTTTTTCTTGCATCTGCCATGATCAAATTATCCAAATTTGATATTAGAAATCAGAATGAGGGGTCATTTGATAAAACGTTAACCAGGTGAAGTTCCAGCATCAGATACTGAAAGAGCAGCTTGGTGGGCCCCTTGTGATTGCTGGGAAATAGAACTTCACACTTGAAATATTAGGCTATTGTTAAGGAAGAAAATGAAAATATCACCAGGGAACTGGTTAGGTATGGTCATAATTTGTCAACTTAGAAGAATACAAGATTTCCTAAAATATAATCAAGGAGAATATGTGTAATACAGGGAAATGCTTCTAATTAGGAAAAAATATAGGAGAATATAAAAAGATAGCCTATGTTATGATAATTTACATACTTTACATGAAAAATATTGGACATGAAGTGCTGGGAAGGAATATGGAAAATATTGATGTGGTAAGACTAACATTTTTTAAAGGGGGCTTCTGGTTTTACACCACTGAATGCATTTCATTTCACACTTAAATATAATTTAGCTAATAGTACCATGCTATCAGTTATATAAGTTATCAAAGATCAAAAGACTCTCTTGACTCCACATTCTCACTTAACTATTTTTTAAATATTAATGGAATCTCTATTTCAAACTTTAATTTCACTCACTAAATCTTTCTCCTGAATCCTCTTTGTTTCCACTAATAGTCAATGCCTGGATAAAGCTTATAGGATAATGTGCAACATAACATTGTTTACAACAAAGTCAAATTGTACTAAGGGAATAATGGGAACACTATCCAAAGTGACTCCTTCCAGGTCAATTATAAACAATATCAGAAAAATCTATTAATATAACATGCAGATTTCTTTGCAAGTGCCAAGAGGTAGCTCTATTTTGAGAAAAAATATCCAGAAAATTATAGGCAATTAATTATTGATATAATTTATATAAGAAAGACAACATGGAATTCCAATAGATTCATATTCAAAGAAAAGGCTTCAACTCTAAAATATGGATGAGTATATAAACATAATAGTATTGAATTTTAATTTATAAATATTAAATAATCTTTTTAAAATTCTTCACATTAACTGACTTTTTAGATTAACTCATCAACTACTAGTTTTGATTCCAACCAAAGAGAACTTGTGCTGCATCCCCTCCTGTCCTCTCAACCCAACCCACTTCCCACCTGCTCTTCAACCTCAAGATCTCTCTCCATACACCGGAAAGCCAATCATGTTCATTATACTCTCACTAACATCATCCCAATTTTCAGGTTTCCTTTATCTTCTATAACATCTATGCTGTCAATTTTAATTTGATATAAAATGAGCCATCATTCCCTATTCTTATGTGCCCAAGCTACCAAGAGCTATGAGAGAAAAAAATACTGTTAAATATGCTGACTGGTGCCATGAAGATAATTTTGAGCTCTGACTTTAATTATGATCTTGAAGTAATCTTTATCTACTCCGTTTGATTCTTCTTTTTTTTTTTCTTTACCTAACAGCTGTTTCCAAAACTCTGTTCAAACCTTCTTTCTTTTTAGTTGTCCTTCCTCTCAGTGAATGATTGAATTCTTCTTTCACAGAGAATATAAAAATAAATTGGCAGAGACTTCCTCAATCTCCCTCTTATCTGTATCTGAATCCGTTTTTATCCTTCCTTCCTGTCTCAGATATAGTGGCTAATCTGTTTCCATCCTCCCCCCTCACAGCAGTACCTTCTGCATAATGCTCCATCTATGATCTCTTCCTTCTATTCTTCTCTTTCTCCTTCCTGACTCAATTTAAAAGTCTTAGACGAATGACAGCTAAATTGTTTTTCTAGACTCCAATGAAGAAAAATTTTGATAGCATCTGATTATATAACCCTTTAATGTATATTCTGAGAGAGAAAAAAAAAAAAAAAACCTAACAAGTTAACTGGAATGTAGTATTTTTACTGTGAACCATATAAAAAAATTTCAGGAGTAAACAGTCATAACTCTTGATTTGATATAAAATTGTTATAAGATTTCCATGGAAACATATGAATATAAGATCTTCCATAAAGAAAAACTTCTAAGTTAATGTCTGTTATTTAAAGGGTAATAGGAAAGAAACTAACATTTAACATGTAATTTAACATTTAAGATGCATCCTTTATCCAGGAAACATTAAGATTGTTGGTAATACTTTCAACAATAAAGAATCATTTTTAAAAATAAGATTATCCAGCCGAAACCGGTTTGGCTCAGTGGTAGAGCGTCGGTCTGCAGACTGAAAGGTCCCAGGTTCGATTCCGGTCAGGGGCATGTACATTGGTTGCGGGCACTTCCCCGGTAGGAAGTGTGCAAGAGGCAGCTGGTCGATGTTTCTCTCTCATTGACGTTTCTAGCTCTCTGTCTCTCTCCCTTCCTCTCTGTAAAAAACTCAATAAAAAATATCTTTAAAAAAATTATTAAAAAATAAATAAAATAAAATAAGATTATCTGACATGACCGCACTCAGAAGTTTAAGAAAGGGGAAGTGGATAACTCTGCGCTCAATGCCAGGCTGCTTCAGAGAGGTGGGATGGTTTGTCCACGGACCTGCTTCTCACAGTGTGGTCCCCAAACTGACAGCATCAGCATCTCTGGAAACTTGTTAGAAATGCACAACCCTGGGCCCCACCTCAGCCTCACCAAATCAGACTTTTGCGGGTGGGAACCAGCAACTTGTGTTTTAACCCTTCCAGGAGATTCTCATGCAGGCTTTATTCAATTAGGAATTTGTTTTTTTAAATAACTGTTATGTGCCAGATCCTATGTCGAGGCTTTACATCATTATCTTCACCATTAAAACCACATCACCAACAACAGCTGTTAACATTTATTAAGCATTTACTATATGCCAAGGATTTTGTAATCCTCATTTAAATCTCATAAAACCCTATAAGAAGGTAACTTTCTTATTCCCATTTTATAAATTTTTTTTAAATAGTAACTTGCTTTAATCAGAAAACCAGATTCAAAGATGGTCTCTATTGCCGTGATCATATGACAACGTCATAATGTCATCCTATATAATAAAAGGCTAATATGCAAATTGTCCCCTCAACCAGGAGTTTGACCAGGGGGCAGAAAAGAACTCTGGTCAACCACCCACAACTCCCCCAGCCCCCAGCTGGTCTGGCCTGATTGGCCCCAACTAGGGCAGGCTGGTCAGACCCCACCCATGCATGAATTCGTGTGTCAGGCCTCTAGTCTGTTATAATAATGTTGCCATTATCATATTTGTTCCTCCTAACCATCCTATAAAGTAATGAAACACTCATGTTATAGGTCTATAAGCTATTTTAGCAAGATCACACAGTGACAGAAAAAGGATTTATAACTAAGCTTGTCAGACTTGAACACCCATACTCTTAACCACTTGTTTATCCCTCCTCAAATAAAAATAAAAGCTATGCCTGAGTGTTTACTATTATTAATTATTCCATTTAACCTTCTGATCCTTTTGCTGAATTCATGAGTCATATTCTATTCTCCAGGCAGAGCCTTAATTTAGCAGACTGGGTTAAACCACTGAGAACCAAGCTCTGTTCTTTAGCTGAATAGGATTTGAGTAGCCAGCGTTCAAATACTGCATACTAAAACAAATATTAATAACACCACAATGGACTGTCACAAAAAGGGGAGAAAAGAGAAGTGAAAAAAAATTCTTTTTTTTCCCCTTCACTATTTCTCTGGCTTCGTTTACCGATCAAACTTCAAATATTTTGAAAAGATAAATTGGCGTCAATATATTTTTGGCTCTCAAATACTAATGAGCTTATGGTATGTCTCGAATATAGCCCTTCAAAGAACATAAAGGCTTAAAGACACTAGTTCCACCAAAGAGGAGCAGGTATCTTAGCGACCTGTAATAGTCCATGGCCAATTACACAAAAGCAAGTTGTGCTTGGAGAAGTAGAAACTAAATTCAAAGGCAAAATGTAATAATCCATTACAGTTTCATTGGGGTCATGTGAGTATTCTCTTGCAACACTACAATCATTTTCCTGAAGAACTAAAGTTCCCAGCACATATTGGTACTAAATTTTAAATAGGCTTTTATGCTTAAAAGTATCACTAATCTATCAGAGCACTTAGGGAAAGATAGATTCAAGGGAAACTTCAAAATGATTATTCATGTTATTCCTGGTCACGGTTAGTACAGAGGAGGTATAATGAAGCTTCAATCTAGAGTACACTTTTAGTCTGTGATGAAATATGTACTTTAAGCATACTTAAGAGAGTTCTCCTTTCCTTTAAAAAAAAAAAAAGTATACACCCAAAACTCTTTATACCAGTAGGGTTTGCCAAACAGAGTTTGGTGCCAGGGTGGGGAAGAAAGTGAATAGTGAAAGTTTTCTAAAATGTTCCAATCATTTAGCTAGTCACAAAATTCCAAGACCATTTCTATTTACTTCCTCAAAAAAAGTTTTATGTAAGTCTGCTACTACTGACATTATTCCAGAGAAACATTTGTACATCTGATCTTCATAAAACTCCCAAGAAAACTTCAAAAATAATCACTAAAGAGAAAAGGCACAAAGCTGAACTCTGCTCCTCTGTTTTCCTGAGCCTCCCCTGTGTCTCCTCCGGCAGCTGCACCTCAGTGACTATCACAGAACACAAGCAATAGGTCACTCTATGCTCCATAGGTACGATTGTTTTTAAGTTGTATGCACATTTTGAAAACCTGAGTTTAATTGCTAAGCTAATCCCTTCCCACCCCCAGATTCTTGTAGACATTAGCATACCTATATGGAACCAAACACCTTTCTTTCTTGACTACTACAAATGAACTTAAGGGTACATTTCTATGTCCACTTTGAAAATTATCTTAATTTTGCCATTATGTTCTTAAGTTTAACTCTGGCATAAAGGGTATCATCTAACATGAACAAGGCTCATAAGTAAGCATAGAAATTAAACACCCACCTGTGAAGGTGTACTGGTAAGTTCCATCTTTTCTTGTGATTTCTCCTTTGCTAGTCGAGCAGCTTCTTTAAATTCCTGAAACTTTTCTGCAAACTGAATGTATAAAGACTATATACATTAACCAAATAAAAATAAGTTGCAATGATCACTTTTACCTTAATTTTCTTTTAGTTTCTCTGTAACTGACTCTTATGCATGCAACCTAACCCTCAAAACAATTACAATTATAATATGAAAATAACACAAAAATAAACCAAATACCAAAAAGTATGTATACTGTAAAGTACATTGACAAATCTCATTCAAAAACATCACAACATAACTAAGTTAGAATCTGGTGTCAGCTATAATAGCTTACCTATGTCCTTCCTTGGTTTTTCAGATATACTTTACTAAGACAGAGTGGGGGGCAGGGGAGAGAGGTACATATCAGGAGAGGAATCAGTAAAGATGGGCATACTATGTTTGTATATCATGTGTGAAAGGGAATCTCTTAAATATCAACTTCTAAGCATCTCAGTATCTGGAGCATGCTTTTAACTTTCACTATAATATAAACTCTTGTATTATGTAAGGTATTTTATTTTCAACAATACAAACAGCAACATTTACTATTACCACTAACTGGCATTAATAAAACTTCATTTCTAAAAACTCCTAAACAGCTAATGTACAGCAGCAGAAGGAATAATATGTCTCCACCAAGGTCTTTGAGATTGGTAATAATTATAAAGATTACTGTACATTAAATGCTAATTCTTAGGAGCTCACAGAAATCTATAAATGTCATGGCCACAAATACTACCTTATCTATGTTTTGGAAGTAGATACTAGTTTACCACTATTCTCAGAGAGAGTAAGTTATGGTTACAAAATAATCAAATTTAAAAATCTAAAATCTTTTTCCTGTCCAGGTGGCCTGGTTGGAGTATCGTTCATACAAAAAAAAAAAAAAAAAAAAAAAAAAAAAAAAAAAAAAAATTTCAGGTTAGTTCCCAATAGGTTGCTGGTTCAATTCCCGGTTGGGTGCATATAGGAGACAACCAATCGATGTCTGTCTGTCTATCTATCTATCTATCTATCTCCATATCTCTCTCTCTCTCTCTCTCTCTCTCTCTCTCTCTCTCTCTCTAATAAGTAAAAAACATATCCTCAGGTGAGGACTAAAAACAATAAAAAAAAAAAACACATAAAATCTCTATGCAATTTAAACCACCTGGTTAAAACTGGTAATAAAAATATGAAATGATCGTTCTCTCCTCAAACCCCATAAGCCAACTCTGATTTCATTTCCATCTTGGGAAGGAAAGCTTTGATAAGAAAGGCTCATGATACTTTGATGTGCCTTTGGGAGATAGAGGATCAAAATTAGAGTTGTCATTGCAAATTTTCCATTTTGCTTTAAATCTTTCATCCCCTCCTACAACTTGTAGATCTGGGAAGTGAATCTGTATTACTATACTTCACTAATTAAACAATACATCTCCTTACAGAAAAACAAAACAAACCTGAATACAAAGCTTAAAAGGTCTTATTCATATTGGGGGAATTAATTAACCATAGTTAATTTCTTTTTATATAATCTGGAGTACAGAAAGCTTTTCTTACACTAATTTAGCATTCCAAAGTAGTTCATGTTTAAAACCCTTCTCAATTTCACAAAGACTTACGCTTTGCTAACTTTTAAAGACTTAAGTTTCCATGATAACAAAATATAGCTCAGGAAGCACTACAAGCATAGCTGTAATTTTTCTTATACATCAACCTTAACAAAGCACCCTGTTCTAATACTGCCCCTCTCCCTTACTTTGAGAGGCCTCTGTCTACAATTGCCTTCAGGGGCTTCTCCAACTCCTTGCATTCATTTATACATTTTAATGATAAAACAAGTCAGAATATTTACATGTTTGCTTCATTTCTATAAAATATTATACACTTCGTTGGGTCCTCTACCGTCTATAAAGCATCCACATTAGACCTCAAGATTGGTCTCTTCAGAATGCTTTGGTCCAAAGCATCCTGAAGAGATTAACTGTAAACTCTTGGAGTCAAGTCTAGTGAATAAAATCCTGGACTTGGCTCTGAGACCTAATAGGTTGTTTCCTGATAGCCAATCCACATGTAAAACACTAGAATTCACTACTGGTAAGATTGGTAAAAAATACATGCTAATTTTGAGAAAAGAAAATAAAATCCTTGAAATATAAAAGCCATTCCCAGAAAAAAAGATCAAATGAGAGGAGACAATATAATTGAACAGAATTTAATAAATGATTCCTTTATTACATTAGCTACTTTCCCACTAACCTGAAAGACACAATGAAAAACTTAATATATGGTCAAAATTACTTAAGCTCAAAAATCATTTCATGCAAGTTATTGAAGATATTAAGCCACATTTTAGTTCCTGTGCTAACCAAAAAAATTCAGCAAGTGGAATATAATTATAGTTTTATTTTATTCTTGCTATAGTCTGTAATGGATGGTTCCAAAAGAAAAGTCCTAAGGTTCTGAGTAATGGCAAAAGTATTAGAATGAACATATAATTTCCTAAGGGAATTGTTTATGGAGAGGCAATGCTCAGCCAGATGCCTGTGTCCCCATTATGTTGAAATACTTTGATTCTAAAATGTATATCTCTACCACAGTTCAAGTAATGTATTTAGAGAATTAGCTGGGTATAAGAAAGTGGTCGGCAAACCACGGCTCGAGAGCCACATGCAGTTCTTTGGCCCCTTGAGTGTGGCTCTTTCATAAAATACCACAGACTGGGAGAACCTATTTTGAAGAAATGGCCTTAGAAGAAGTTTAAGTTTAAAAAATTTGGCTCTCAAAAGAAATTTAATCGTACTGTTGATATTTGGCTCCATTGACTAATGAGTTTGCAAAACCACTGGTATAAGAGAAACCACATTAGATAACTTGTTTGTTTTAATTGTCCTATAAAACAATCTTAGTATCCCATTGCTGGAGACTATGTCCAGTGGGTCATAATAAATGCAAGAATTCCTCAAAAGATTGAATGGACATATTCAGCAGGGCTGAAAATCTGCATGCTATTACCTGCTGCTGGAACAGCCAAAGGCATTTCCCCTAACTTGATAATCTTTTCCTGTTTATCAAACCTTACCTTTGATATGTATATCTGCTTTCCTAAAGGGCCAAAGTGTTTTCCAGCAAATAAAAAGCCAAGGGTCTGGAGATTCTCAGGGAGCTTAAGTCACTAGAGCTAAGTTTCTGTGTGGCTTTCCCCCATGCCTTCAAAATTTATATTTCATGTCTAGTTTATCCATTTACACGCAGCCCCTTTTCCAGATTCCTGAACCCTAACTGCGGAAAGACCCTAGCATCCCGAGATTGTTTCCTTTTTTCCTTACATACTCTTTCATGTGATAACCACAGAACTCAAGGTGCTGCTGATGTGAACACTGCTTGGCTTTGCTTATAGGCAGGACAACTGTTTTGCTTCCAATATTTAGCCTGGTGATGCTCTGTATTATATTGGCTTTTCTGGCCATAGTACTTCACTTGGTCAGAAGAGGAGTATTTCCCAAGAACTCTTCATTGTATCTATTGGGTCTCTGTATTGCATCAGAGAGCTCAGAGTAATTCTGACCCAGACAATACACAGCTTTCCCTAAACATAGTGATTTATATGTGTCTACTGTCATGTCAGAAAGTTGAAATACATACCATTATCAGCTTGAGTTTTCATAATTCATAAGAGGTTGGTATCTACCTATGTTGCAGACTATCTCCACCTAAGGATGTAAAGTCATGAGCAAAGTCCATTCTGAAGTGGTAATTCAGATGTTTTATTTCCTATTATACACACAGTTAACTATTCAAAGCCTTCTCAATCAGTGGTGACTATTTTTAATGTGTGCAATAAATTTTCCAATTGACAACAGAATCCAATGATATCTTCCTGCTGTAAAATCGCAACAGTTCTGAGAATATTAAACAAATTTCTCCTATGTATTTTACACTCTCCATTTGCTATTATATATATAGACATCTGATCTGAAGATGAAGATTTCCACTTAGAATCTGGTGAATTAACTTACTTTTGAAAGATGATGCTCAGAGGAGAATCCCAGTCCATAAACAGTGTTTGCCCGGCTATCGGCCCACTGGCCAAACTTCTGAGAAGTTTTTGTAAATGTCATGTTTGGGGTGATGGTGCTATTAATTATTGCCTGAAAAATAAAGCAAGTATGAATAACCTGTCCAAAATTAGCAAACAGACATTTAAACACAGGATTATTTAGTTACATAAAAATTTAGGATTCTTAATGAGCCAGTACATTAAATATACAGTATAGTTATAAAAATAGTTTATATTATTGCAAGTGACAGAGTGGAAAAAAGGTAACTACCAGGACTATAAATAAAATGGCACTCTATCAAAAATTTCAATACCTTACAGTCAAAATAGATGTTTACTTAACATCTATTAATTTTGGTGATAGTCACTAAAAGCAAGTAAGTTTTAATAGTTGTTTCTTTAAAATAGTTATTTCTCACTCCCCAAAAAGTTTTTCAAAAATGAACACATCAATAGGAAAATTTTCTATTTGTACACTATTTCTATTTCTCAAATGCATGATCAACCATTTTCCAAAAGCTAACTTACTTGAAATATATTATGATACAAAAAAGACTTTCAATCATTCAGTATTTTTCCTTTACTCAAGGGAAAAACAAAACTTGAAATACATACTTCATTTCTTTTCTCATAAAGTGGTATAAATTCATGATATTGAGAATCACTATCATATCTGTTTAACACATAGTTTCTTATAAAACTAGTATTTTAGTATGTTATTTAACATTAACTTTGGTGATCACTAAAATAGATTTCAACTATTATTATAACATTAACTTAAATTCCTCTGCCAGTACTGTGAAAGTTTAGAATCCATTTTATTTAAGTCTACTGCCCTCCAAAATTGAGATTACAAAGTGATTCAATAAAAATAAAAATGTGCCCTGACTGGTTTGGCTCAGTGGATGGAGTGTTGGCCTGCAGACTCAAGGGTCCCAGGTTTGATTCCAGTCAAGGGCATGCACCTTGGTTGTGGGCACATCCCCAGTGTGTGTGTGTGTGTGTGTGTGTGGGGGGGGGGGGTGTGCAGGAGGCAGCTGATGGATGTTTCTCTCTCATCGTTTGTTTCCAGCTCTCTCTCCCTCGCCCTTCCTCTCTGTAAAATATCAATGAAATATATTTTAAAAATAAAAAATAAAAATGTGATCACATTCATAAGTGGTTTTCTGGTAATTTATTAACTATGGAATGAAAATCAAGCATTTTTAGAACAAAGCTAAATTTATCATGTGAACAACCATATAATGTAAATATTTATGAGCTAAGCAGGCACTGGTGAAGTTATAATAATGAAAGTATGAAAGAACATTATAAACTGATGAACCAAAAGATAGATATAGAGACAATAAAGCAACAAGCAGTCTGTCAAATTACAGCGGGGAGGTTAGGGAGATCTGGGGGAGATAAGAGATCAACCGAAGGACTTGTATACATGCATATAAGTACAACCAATGAACACAAAACTCTGGGGAGGGTAGGTTTGTATGGGTGGGGGGGTCAATGGTAAAATATGTACATAGATAATAATTTAATAAAAAAAAAAAAAAGAAAGTATGACACCTGGCTGCTAAAGAAGAGTGGTCCCTTGCTTTCTCTAAAAGACAGCAAATGTGTCACCTGTTATATGGAGCCCTTGTCCTTGATTAAGTTTTTTTGTTTACCTCTTATAAAATTTATATACTCATATACCTCCTTACTCTTCAATTCAAAAGCTGCTTTTCCTAGCTAGCATGTCATTTTAGATCTTGTAAAAGGTGGCTAATAACTGCACTAATTTGAGAGATTGTCATCGAATGAAAAGACTGAATGGAAAAGAATATAGAATGGTCCCCCTATATCCAGTTTCAGTTACCTGTGATCTACAGAAGTCTGAAATATTAAATGGAAAATTCCCAGAAAGAAACAATTCATAAATTTTAAGTTGCATGCTGATCTGAGTATTATGATGAAATCTCTCGCTGTCCTGTCTTGCCTCCTGAATCATGCCTTTGTCCAGCATTAGCCACACTCCATATGTTACCTGCCCACAGTCACTTCGTACCTGTCTAGGTTATCAGGCTGACTGTTGAATGTCCCAGTGTTTGTGTTCAAGTGACCTTTATTTGACTTAATAATGGCCCCCAAAGCACAAGAGTAGTGACGCTGGCAATTTGAGTATACCAAAGAAAAGCTGTAAAGTGTATGTTTGTACAGGAAACAATTCAGTTCTATCTGCATTTTCAGGCATCCACTCACAGTCTTGGAAGTATTCCATGTGGGTAAGTATTAGTTTGCTAAGGAACCATTTGGTTATTCAACTATTTTATTAAGTACCTATTAATGTCAAGCACAATTCTATAAACCTGAGATACAACAAGAGGCAATATAATAGTGGATCACATTCTACAGCAAAGAGAGTCCATCAATGACCACATAAACAAACAGCTGACCAATTTTCTGTGAGTGGTAAGTGCTTATGAAGACCATAAGGCCAGGATATGATAAAGGCTAGATGGCCAGGACTGTCAGGCACTACTTGAGATCCCATGATCCTGGACTATTCCCTGAGGAAGGTACATTAGTGTTTTCAAGAAGAGAAGAGCATTTAACACGTGACCCTAATAACTCAGAAAGTGAGATGGCAATAGGTGTTCCAGGCAGTTGAGAAACCCATCCATGTGGGTTAAACTATTTCAAATGAACTTTTTTCTACTTTTCAGTTAAGTGTTCTGTTTTAACCCCCATTCTGAACATTTCCTTAAAAACGTATTTTATTAGACTTCCTTGAATAGAATGCTACAGTGAATCCAATTAGAAGAAAAAAATTAGTTCTATAAAATAAACAATGTCTCAATCCCAACGTTCTTGTCCTTTCAAGGAGAAGAGGTAGAAATGCTGTGTTATTACAGATCATGGAGTGCCCTGATCCTGGCCTTTGGCCAGGCTGATGTCTCTGCAAACTTTATTAGCTCAGTAAAAGTACATTTTCTAGTCAGGGCACCTAAGGTCTTTTCAACTAATCACGCTGTGCAGAAACAGAAGTGAGGGTAGTAAGAAAAACACTCACTTAGCTGCATCAAATAAGCCAGTAGGGCTTATAAAAGACAAAACAAAAAACCCAGATGACTCCTGCAGGGAACTGCAGTGGTTAACAGCATCAGCTTAGAAAGGTAACTACAGAGTAGAAAATGTGATAGAAACATGTAATTGCTACAGAGGGTGGAATTTATTAAAAGAAATGAAACAAAAACTTTTTCAAAGGAATTATTTAAGAGCCTAAAAATTACAAGCTGCAAAGTATGTTCAAAAATAAAAATGCCAGAAACAATAGTTCATAATGCTCCAGAAGGAAAACACATGAGGATTACTTAATCACATAGTATATGAGACTACTTCAGTTGAACTTTATTTTTTATACCATCTAATTCTCCTGTCTAATAAAATGACATTTTATCTGTAGCCAAGAGAGAAACACAGATCGTAGAGAACTAAAGATTCAAATTAGGGAAAAGAAATAAATTAACATCTAGAACCTAAATTAATAATAATATCTGTTAACTTCACTTATAAACTATGACAAAATTGTTCTTCATTTAAAAAAATTTTTTTTCACAGACATTAACTATTTCAATTTCCCAAGTCCTTTAAATCCTCCAAATGAAAATGAAGATAGGATCAATTATTCAAATAAATACAAGTTAGTCACTTGTGAACCAAAGTACAAATAGCCCCTGGGGTCCTATAATCTAGTTAATGATACCATGTTCCCTGAAAATAAGACCTAGCGCAACTCTGGGATAAAAAAATTAATATAAGACACTGTCTTATTTTCGGGGAAACAGGGTATAAGAAATGAGCACACAGAAAAGACTGAAGTTTGAGCATTAAATTAGATTTTTTTTTAATCCCCCAAAACACTCAGTACTACATAATTAACAGCTTAATATTAATAATGGTAACAGTAACAGTTATATTTGTATAGGGATTACTATACACCCTTGAAGTGCTTTTGCCTAAATATATTTCATCTTTACAATGATTCCACAATCTGATGATGTAGACAACTTACTAATTTTTTTTTCACAGATGAGAAAACTGAGGTATTAAGACATTAAATGACTTATTCTAGGCCAAATGGCTAGCAAGCAGTAGAGCAAAAACTCAAACCAGACAGTCCGGTTATATAGTCTGTGTCCTTAACCACTAAACTAAATTGCTAAAATTTCTGAGAACAGAAAGGCCTCGTGGCTTCATGAACACTGAAGAAAAAGAATGGAGCCCTCATTCTACACACTTTATATCCAGAATATGAAGCTTGGCATTTCTTTATCTTCATGTGTTGTTCAAAATTCACTGATAAAAAATTGGAATTTTTCCCCTTTTGAGGGGTATACTATCCATCAGGCACTAACTAAGTGTTTTTGCATATATTAACTCAGTTAATCCTTACAATTTCAAGCACTGAGGTGAGAACAATGAAGCTCAGAGATGTAATTTGCCCAAAGTCAAAATCTTAGTAGATGGAAGAGCTGAGACATGAATCCAGGCAGTATATGCTCTTTTTTTTTTAATATATTTTTTTAAAATTGATTTTGTACAGAGAGGAAGGGAGAGAGATAGAGAGTTAGAAACATCAATGAGAGAGAGTCATTGATCAGCTGCCTCGTGCCCTCCCCCTACTGGGGATATACCCGCAACCAAGGTACATGCCCTTGACCGGAATCAAACCCGGGACCCTTCAGTCCCCAAGCCGACGCTCTATCCATTGAGCCAAACCGGTCTTGGCTATGCTCTTAAATATTAGACTATCTGCCTCTCCTAAAAATAAAAATGTAGGAACTCTCCATAGGCTTCATTCCAAATGAAAGATAAACTTTAATATTGCTATTGACAGACTTCATATGATTTAGGGATTTTGAACAGCATACTAATCTGTAAGAGTGGAAATTGCATCCACCCTATTCACCACTATATTCCTAGCCCCTATAACATAATGCCTGACAAATAACAGATAATCAATGAATATTTCCCAAATAAAATTGATCTCAGATTTGTAGAGTATTTTGACATGTAATTTAGTATAAATAAGGTGGTTAATCCAAGTAATTTAGTGGACAAAATATGTCAATACCTTAAAAATGATCAATGTTGGCCCAGCCAGCATGGTTCAGTGGTTGAGCATCAACCTGTGAATCAGGAGGTCAAGGTTTGATTCCTGATCAGGGCACATGCACAGGTTTCGAATTCAATCCCCAGTGTGGGGCATGCAGGAGCCTGCCGATCAATGATTCTCTCTCATCACTGATGTTTTTCTCTCTCCCTCTCCCTTCCTCTCTGAAATCAATAAGAAAGTATTTTTAAAAAATGATCAATTTTGTTTTTTAAAGTTGTTTTAAAATATCTCAATATTTTAATAAACATTCCTCTAAAACTGAGATGCTATACTGTATAAAGCAAAATAGCAAGATTATTTAAAGTAAATGTAACTTACCTTTGAGCCATCTAAACTGATTATCCTATACACATTTCTTGTGCTGTCATAGAAATAAGACACAGTAACTGCGTGCTTGCTGGTGGGTACCCAGTTCTTCTTTGTGTTAGGGTCAATCTGGAAGACATGAGCACGAGTGCTGAAGATGGGTTGTTCCCTGTGGGGGAGAAAATAAAATGACACTCTGAAATCAGCCAGTTTTATTCCACTGGACAATAAAACACGAAAACTATGATGATGACTCCACTTAACCAAAAACTCCCCACGACCTGAAAAACAAGAGAAACTTTCAAATTAGAATATTCTAAGTATTCAATCATAAGCTTCTTTAAACGAGAGTCAATCCTCATTTCTGTGTTTGCAAATTTGCCTACTCAACAAAATGTATTTGTAACCCCAAAAGCAAGGCTTGGGATCCTTTCTTGGTCTTCTGCAGTGGAAAAATGTGTGTCCTTGGAAAAGCATGTTCCCATCTGACACTGATCAAGGCGACACTCAGCCCTTCTGTTCCAGCTCTCATAATCAAGTGTCCTTTTTTTGTGATCTATTTAGTTCCAGGTACTTTGCATTTTTGTGCTTTCTGTTTAAAATGGCCCCCAAGCATAGTGCTGAAGTGCTATCTGTTCCTGGGGCAAGAGGCTGTGATGTGCCCTATGGAGTAAGTATCTGTTAGATAAGCTTTTTCAGGCATGAGTTACAGCACTAATGGCCTTGAATTCAATGGTAATGAATCAACAATTTATATTAAATGAGGTATATTTAAACAGAAACACATAAAACAAACTTATGTATTGATGGGTTGATGAAAATGTTACAACAACCGAAACTGATTTGGCTCAATGGATAGAACGTCAGCCTGCAGACTGAAAGGTCCCAGGTTTGATTCTGGTCAAGGGCATGTACCTTGGTTGCGGGCACGTCCCCAGTAGGGGTTGTGCAAGAGGCAGCTGATCGATGTTTCTCTCACATCGATGTTTCTAACTCTCTATCCTTCTCCCTTCCTCTCTGTAAAAAATCAATAAAATATATTTAAAAAGAAAATGTTACAACAGAGGCTCACAGGGACCCTATATTCCCCCTAGGAGCAATGGCTCAAAATTCACAACTTCAGTGTTGTGGAGTCTTTGTAAGAACATAACTATTGTGAATAATGAGAACTGACTATGCCTTGTTAAAATATACATCTTCTATTTGACCCTCACTAGGTTAAAGCTTGTTATCCGTTTAAAACTATATTATTCTGGTAATAGGTAAATAACTTACTGAGAAAGTTTACATCAGTATAAACTCTATATTGAAAAGTATATGGAAAACAAAGTGGCTCACCACAACAGTATCTTTTACTTAGATCAAGTAGGGCTTTAAAGATGTACAAGAGATTTAAAAAATTATAACTTCAACATCAAGAAAGCCCACTCTATGGGAGAACATATTTGCAAATGTTATCACTCATAAAGGTTTAATCTCCAACATCTACAGACAGCTTATACAACTAAATAAAAGGAAAATGAATGATCCAATTAAAAAATGGGCAATGGACCTAAATAGAATATTTTCAAAAGAAGACAGAAGGAAGGCCAAGAGGCACATGTAAACAGGCTCAAAGTCACTAATTATCCGAGAGATGCAAATCAAAACAACAATGCGGTACCATCTCACACCTGTCAGAATGGCCAACATCAACAAATCAACAAACGACAAGTGTTGGTGAGGTTGCGGAGAAAAAGAAACCCTTTTGCATTGCTGGTGGGAATACAGATTGGTGCAACTACTATGGAGAACAGTATGGAGGTTCCTCAAAAAACTGAAAATGGAACTCCCATTTGACCCAGTAATCCCACTCCTAGGATTATATCCCAAGAAACTAGAAACACCAATTAGAAAGGATAGATGCACCCCTATGTTCATAGCAGCACAATCTACAATAGCCAGAATTTGGAAACAGCCTAGGTGCCCATCAGCAGATGATTGGATAAAAAAAACTATAGTATATCTACACAATGGAATACAACGCTGCCATAAAAAAGAAGGAATTCTCATCATTTGCAGCAACCTGGATGGAATTGGAAAACATCATGCTGAGTGAAATAAGCCAGTCAATGAAAGAGAAACACCACATGACCTCACTCATTTATGGATAATACAGAACATTATAAACTGATGAACCAAAAGATAGTTATAGAGACAGCAAAGCAACAAGCAGACTGTCAAATTACAGCGTGGAGGTTAGGGAGATCTGGGGGAGATAAGAGATCAACCGAAGGACTTGTATACATGCATATAAGTACAACCAATGAACACAAAACTCTGGGGAGGGAGGATATATCTGAGGAGGGGGCAATGGTAAAATATGTACACAGGTAATAATTTAATAAAAAAATAAAATTTAAAAAAATAATAAATAAAAAAATAAAAAATTATAACTTTAAGAACCAAAACAATTAAAACATTAAATTTTAAAAAAACATATTCAAAATATGATTACAGATTCTTTTAGTATGTATATAACAGAAGCATTATAATGCAAAATTTTTTAAGTTCAAAGTAAAATTTCTTTTGAAACAGCAGCTATGAGACATTTTTTTGTCCCCTTCTCCCCAAATAACACACCTTTCTTTCGTAAAGCAGATTAAGGTCCTAAAGAGAAGTTTAACTGGTATTTTTTTAATAGTTAAATGTAAAAGTTTTAATTTTAAAGAAGGAAAGGAGTGTGTGGGAAAAGAGAGAAATTAGGAGACAAGCAGGACAAATCTGGGTCCTTGACAAAAGGCTCTTCAGATAAAGGGCAGTGTGTCACGTGTCCCCTATGATCTCCTTTGGTCCTTGAAGAGCAGGTGAGAAAGGAGGGATCTTCCCTGTAGGTCACCTGGCTCTTCCCAGTTTTGTGTCTGGAAACCTCTATAACAACTTTTCTTATTTAGAATATCTCTTTTGAAAGGGAGTGATACATTTTATGCCACTCCCTAAAAAGTGACAGACATAATTTCTGGTTTAACTGCCATCATAGATGGATTTTTTTCAATACATAAACATTAACAATCTCGCAAGGCACTGTGACAGAATAAAGAATTCTGAATTGAGAGGTCTTATTCATTCCCTTTCCCCATCCTCAATCCTTGACTTTCAGTAAGGCTAACTAAGGGCTACCATGGAGGAATTGATGCCTAAGTAATGTTTAAAACAAAGTATGGCACAGTGGTAAGAAGACTCAGCACGCATTGGCCTGTGTAGCAAGAACTGTAATGATGGAACTGCCATTTGACCCAGTAATCTCACTTCTAGGAATATATCCCAAGAAACCAGAAACACCAATCAGAAAAGATACATGCACCCCTATGTTCATAGCAGCACAATTTACAATAGCTAAGATTTGGAAACAGCCTAAATGCCCATCAGCAGATGAGTGGATTAGAAAACTGTGGTTCATTTATATAATGGAATACTATGCTGCTGTAAAAAAGAAGGAATTCTTACCATTTGCAACAACATGGATAGAACTGGAGAGCATTGTGCTAAGTGAAATAAGCCAGTCAGTGAAAGAAAAATACCACATGATCTCACTCATTTGTGGAATATAAAGAACAATATAAACAGATGAACAAAAATAGATAAAGAGGCAAAGAAGCATCGAACAGACTGTCAAACAGGAAGGCTGGGGAAGTTTGGGAGGGTGGGTAAGAAATCAATATAAACATAACCAATGAACACAAGACACTGGGGTGGTGGTGGCGGTGAGGGTATGTGCCAGGAGGTAGGGGAGGTCAGGAGGTGGTCAACAGGGGGGTGAGTGTTGGGGGGGGGGGGAGGAGACATATGTACTATTTGTAATACTTTAAACAATAAAGTTAAACTAAAAGAAAAATAAGGCTAAATATAAAAAGAAGCCAGCTCACAAGGGTCCTGGCTGGAAGCTACTGAAAGATGTAAATACAGAACAGCTTTGCCTTTTAGAAAGATAAATTTGGCATCACTGAAGAGGGTGGATTGGGAAGAAAGAACATCAGAGAAAAGCAGGCTAGACAAATCCATACAACAAATAGGAGGTAGGAGAGGAATGAAGATATGAGGAAGGACTCAAGGTAAATTTAGAAAGTAGAATCAATAAGGTTAAGTAACAGATTAGACATGGGTAATAGTTCTCAAATAGGGGTGATTTGTTCCCCACGGGACATTTCAAAACATCTGGAGACATTTTTGGTTGGCACAACTGAGGGAGATTATTATCGCATCTAAGGAGGAGAGGCCAGGGCTGGCTGCTAAACCTCTACAATGCACAAGACAGCCCCACACAACAAAGAATTACCCAGCCAAAAATGGCAATAGTGCCAGGGCTGAGAAATCCCAACGCAGGAGATGAAGGACCGATCGGAGTCTCTCTCCTGGGTGACTGAAAAGAAGACAATGTTACTATCCATGATGGGAAACAGAAAGTAAAGCCAGGGCCTGGCAGGACAGTGGAGAGAGGTCGAGCTCAGTTTTGGCTAAGTTCACAGCACTTGCATGTAAAACTGTCAGCACAGGAACTTAATATTAGGCAGGGCTCAGCAGAGAAAACCAAGCTGGAGTGAAAAGTGTAGAGGGAATCATCAAGAGATCTTATCATGGTCTTGGCCAGCTAGCTCAGTTGGTTAGAGCACATGGTATGAAAGTGTTCTATTATTCATAGAGGAATAAAGGGAAAGTAGGAGAGAAGCACAAACCCAAACATGGCTAACTGCCAGGCTGGAAGTGCTGAAGATACATTCAGCTGTTGGTGAAAACATCCTCTCCTTCCCAAGACATAAGTACACAGAAAGCAAGAGAAAAAAAAACATTCTATCTTCAGCTTGGTTTTTAGAGTTCAAAGCGGGAGAGAAGGCGGACAATACCTGTTAAGGCCAAAAGGACACGAGCAAGGATAAAACAAGGAGTGGACACACTAATGACCACGTAACTTCGGACGGAATGCCTGAAGAATTTACTTTCAGTGCCGCTGTGAGGGACAAGCTGACGCTCAAACACTAGAGTTTCTTCAAAAGAATTGTGCTGCACAAATTAATAATAAAAACTGTAGTTTCACTGATTATCTAGGAACCAGTTTAACTGCCCCTCTGCCCAGCCCTCCAATGCAAAGATTGTAACTGCATGTTACTATGTATTCCTATTATCATGTTATAT